GCTGTGGCTCAAGTGGTAGAGCACTAGCCTTGAGCTGAAGAGCTGAGGGACAGCGCCCAGGCCCAGAGTTCAGGCCCCATGACCGGACCCAAAAAAAAAAAAATCCACACATTAAAAACTCTGAAACTTTTTGAATGCTGACATAACTGAAACACATCTGAAGCCTTTCAGACTGCAGATGAGCTAATGATCAACAATATTCTATGCAAATATTACACGATAGGAAATATTCCCTAATCCAAACTACTGATCAAATATGTCAAGTCTGTAGTTGGTGAGGAGCTAAACCCCATGGCTATAAATGCAGGTTTCTAGAGGACAGAATTCCATTCTCTCAAATGATCGAATAGCTAAATGGGCATTTCGAGTCTTCCTGTGGAAAGGTAATTTAGGTAGTATCTGAGTCAGTCTCTATGATGACAGTCAGTCTCTTCCACCACATCCCTTCTTTCTTGCCCAGCCCATTGTTCCTTCCATGCAATCTCACTGTGTTTGTGGTACTAGATTGAATCTGGTAGGCTTTTTAACACTTCCGGTGAAGAGGGCCATGCATTTACTCGTGGTTAAGTAACCTTATTTCTTCTCTACTTCTACTTAAGGATATGCAGGCATATTTTTCTGGAGTAACTACTCAATAGCATAGCTCCCAGCTCTCCTGTTGTTCATCTTTTAAGTTATTTTGGCCTCTCCTTAAACTCTTTCCTGCTGGGTCTCCATTTTCCAATGGGTATTCCTATTTAATCAATGTTGCCTCTTGAAAATGCAGTCACTAGAAATAGATACACCATTTCCTTCCTTGCCTTTTTCTTCTCATTGCTACCAGTATATTTTTTAAAAGTGAATTGATTATGGAAAGGCCTCACCAGAGGCTTTTCTGGTTAACATTACCTTAAAATACATTCGAAAGGAATATCCATGGAGCAAAGGGAAGTACACTCAGTCTAAAGCCAGACACTGACTCACGGTTAGATGGAATGCTGACATTTAACATCATAATGAAAACCGATATGCTGTCTAGATTGCTAGACATTTTTAATGGGAAAAATAAGAACCTGGAAGAACAGTGAGAGGAGCATAGCAAATGCTTCATTTTTATGTGATGAAGGAAGGAATGGAGTAGATGGCCACACCGCTGGGAAAAGGAAGTTATCTTTAGTTTTGGAGATCTCAGGGGCTCCCAATCTTGAAGTAATGTGGAACACAGGCAGGGCAAACTGAGAAATCTCTGCCAGGGAGATCCACTAAGCAAGATGTTCAGTCTGGAGTGAAAGTGTCACGCGTGGAAGGAATACCAGACATATTATCCCATCTGTGGTGTTCATTTCACATTGGGGCCCTGATTTCTGGGCAGAAAAAAATGCATGCTGAAACTTATCTCACATGGCTATGTTTTAGGACAAAATGGTGAGGACTGTTACATCGCAGTGGTGATGAAGCCATGGAGATGTTGGCTAGGATGGCTACCCTAAGTCATGATGTAATGGATAGGCAAGGACATTCACTTGGCTCTCACTACACAAGCTTTGTCTCTCAAGATTTTTCTTTCTTTCTTTTTCTTCTACACAGAATGAAAGGGGAAGCCATTTAATGCAGACAAGAAAAACTACTGACCCAGTGTCAAGCAGATTTAGGTCTTAAACCTTGAAAGGCAGATGGAAATTCAATCGTGAGTTGGAACCTGATGAGAAGAAAGTAAATCATCTGAAGTGGGCAAAGGTAATGGACATAAGGCTGTGTGTGTGTGTGTGTATGCATAAGTACACACGTGGCAAAAGCAATTCAGGATTCAATAGTTTTTCTCATAACTGAAAATTTGAAGTAATATCTCTTTGGAGAAATAACATCAGTTCTGTTTCTATATTGATGAAACAAAAGTATCAGGCAAAACCACAGTATTACTTTCCTACTCACTGACCAGAAAGACCAAGCAATACTCACAGCAACTGCTTATTTCATTGTCAAATGTTTATTTCTATGCCATAGTTGCCTTAGCACAATTTGTAAAAGGAAGGAATCCAAAAAGTGATTTTTTTTTCAGGATATTTTCTCTGCATTATAAGAAATAAAATAAACACCTTGGTATCAGAATTACCTTTTCTTTCACATCATTCTAGTAAGTTGCATCTAAATATCTTCCTTGGATATCTTTTTTTTTTTTTTAATGTTACGATGGAAAAATATCCACAGGAAAAAATGCTTAGATTCATTAGCATAAACATGGGATAGTCTTTGTCAGAGAATATATCTAGAACATCTTTGTTTTGGTACACTCTATCACTAATTGCCATATTCTTATTACTTTATAACAGGCATACTTTATTATACAAACAAAGTGCACTAAAATGAACAATGTTAAGAGATAAACTGAAATTGGGTGGATGTTAAATCTCCGGGTGATTAGATATTAGTGAAGCACAGAAATACAAACTTCATTATCAATACAGTGCACAACTCTCTCCTGTGATGGAAATGTTTTGTAGCCTAGTTCGTTTTTTTTTGTTTGTTTTTTTGTTTTAGCAATATAGGGCATCCAATACAACTGAAACAACCTGATAACAAATTGATCATTATTTTTTAAGTTCAATAAAAAGGAATGCTCAGGTTTCTTAACTGGTTCTCCTACTTGAGAGAGCCAGAAGATGGCAATTGCTCTAGACTGCTGTCATCTGATATGAGACACAAACCCACCAGGATTTTTACAGCAGAAGTCGGCACCATGCCTCAGATCACGAGGCCCTTACAAAGGAGCCTGGGAAAATAACTGTGCCAAGCGGTGGTGGGCCAGCAACTAGAGGCCGCCATGGTAGTTGTACGCAGAAATCCCTTCAGCAGACTCAGTGAAAGGGTGAGAGTTCTTTTAAGTTCATGCACATTTTATTGAGTAGTAATATAAAATGCTTTTTCTTTGTCATTGTTACAAGTGCATGCTTTGATCGCCAACATTTCAGAAGTCAAATTACAAAGGCAAGGCTTTAGGCTGTAGTGAATTACTTGGGCACTTATACAATTGTTAAAAAATATGAATGGACTTTTTTTTTGTCGTCGTTGTTGTTTTCAGAATGAACCAGTTGTAACCCGTAACTGATATACAAAGGGAAAAGAGTGAAAAAAGTACATATTTTGTGGCACATGACAGAACAGAACGAAGTAACTAAACCATTATGACGTTAAACAGTTACCATGCATTTAGAGTTTCACATGTAACTACAAACTTATTTAAATTTCACAAGGTTTGCTAAACATGCTAACCATCTATATGTGCACTGACAAGCTTATGTTAAAAACTTTTAAGAATACTTTCCCCTTTAGATTTTTTTCAAAGCTGTTTTGATTACAAAATTTCAAAGGCATTAAGCATTTTAGAGAATATAAAGAACGCCAGTATACATACATTTCCAGTATATGTCAGACCACTAAGCGCATTACAGTCCCATACAGGCCAATACAGCCATTTTTTTTTCTTAAAAAACATGCATAGGCAGATTTTGTTTTTTGTTTTTTGTTTTTTACAGAATATAGATGCTTTATCACTGTACTTAACATGGTGTCTTGTTCACTATACTTAAAAATGCACCACTCATAAATATTTAATTCAGCAAGCCACAACCAAGACTTGATTTTATCAACAAAAACCCCTAAATATAAACAGCAAAAAAGATAGGTGTAATTATTCCAGTTTTTTTTTCAAACTTAAAAGAAAAGTAAAGAGATTCACTGCCAAATTAATAAGTGTAATGTAGGAAAAGGGCATTCAAGCATACTAAAGAAACCTGAGCTCAGCAGAACCTGCACAAAATTAAAATGAAACTGTCCTTTTTTTTTTTTTTTGGCATTTTAACAAATCTGCAACATTCTCTTTTTTTTTCTTTTTCTGTTTTTTTTAAGACTGCCTAATTCAGTTTATAGCCATTGTCTGACAAGAGTAGCAAAACATTATCAATAAATAGTCCTTATTTAGTTTGTACATCATTTTTGTTAAAAATGTTGATATCATCCATTTTTAGTGCTGCGACTGTAAACGTACAATAGTAAGAAATTAGACAAAGTTTTCATGTCCAGTAACAGAATAAAAGGCTTTTCATTCACCTATCTAGGAGTCCTCAATGCAGTAGGAAAACTCGGTCATTCCCCTAACATTGCAGTCTATACTAGCGTTAGCTTTCTTTTTAAAAATTTTTTCCCCCTATAAGCATTTTTTAAAAGGCATACCCAAAAGAGGTGTGTAATCACCACCCTCACCAAAATATAGTTTATTATCTCTCTCCCTCTTTGTTTTTTTAAATGATAGTGTAAACTGAATCCAATTCCTAGCCCCCAGAGCAAATAAGCTACCATCAGAGGCAAGAACATCCGAATGCTGATAGGCAGCAGCCATACCACTCACGCCCTGCAGCTCAAAGAAAAAACAAAAAAAGGAAACAAAAGAAGAAAGTGAACAGGAAGTGGTCACTGGATATTGCTGCTATTACTGCCATTGCTGTCCGTGCCGTTAGTTTCTGAGGCGAGAGCCTTGTTGATGGAGTTAAGGTTGGCATCAGAGGGCAGGGCGTCTCTGCGAGGTGGCATCCTCTCGTTAATTCGGTCTAAGCCCTTGGCTTCCTCGAAGCTAGTGATCTTATGTTGTGGTGAAAATCCTTTGATCGCTAAACAGAAAATCATTAAGAAAGAGAGAGACAGGGTTAGCTACGGAAAAAAACAGGGCACAGGTGCGGTGTGTGGGTGATGTGAGAGACTTCGCAGTGAGTGGGGATTCCTTTAGTGGAGAACAAGAGACGGGACCTGAACACAACACAACAGACTCCTTACCATACTCGGAGATAACCAAAGGTTTGAAAACAGCCAATGTCTCTTGCCAACCAAAGTGTCCTCTTGAAGTCATTAAGGTGAAAGCAAGTCTCTCGTCTCGGTGAACATTTAGAGCAAAGGATTCCAAAGTGGATAATGTAAAGAGGTCAGGTCCCTGGAACCACCATTGTTGGCGACACTATTACCATGGTTACCACATTCAACACCTATCCTAGGCAGACTAGTATATACTCATTATCACTCTCCCATTGAGCTAGTAATGACAAATCCAGTGGAATCACGGTGACTGCTATCCCTAGAACTCCAGCAACAGGCTTAGAGCAGAAGGCAAAGGAGCCAAGAAAGGAATTCACTTGGGCATTTCTATGTCACCACAGAACCCCAACTCAGATCTCCTCTGCAAAACAACTCAATGATGCCATTAAAAAAAAAGCAAAAAAGAAAAGGAATGATGAATTTCTATTTCCCCCCTCTACTTTGGAAGCACATGGAGTGGGTGACAAGTTATAAGAAACTCAGAAATCAATATGGGATCTCTAAGTGGAGAAGCACTGAGCGCCCTTTTGCAGTAAACAGGCCAAACATGTTCCTCTGGTACCCATGACTCCTGAAATCAAGAAAAAATTCATTCTTGGTAGAGCCAGTGAGACACACAGAGGGGTTAAAGGAAAAGCTTTTCATATTTTTAGAAAAAAAAAAGGAATTGGACAGGATTTATAACTACTCCAAACTACTTCATTAAAGCATGATATTCTTCAAGTGGTTGTAATACTTGATTTAAAAAAAAAATTCTAGAAAACCCCTTAGTGTGCTTTAGATATAAGTGAGGCATCTGTCCAAGAAATTTAGTGGTTGCCCCATTCCATGAGGTGAAAATAAGACACACAAACGGGGAACCAATGACATCAGTTTGTTTTACTCCTTGTGAAGGGCTAGGCAGATAATTAAGGGCCAATCACCAGTGCTGAATTAGGCTGCATCACCAAGGCTAATTAAAAAATAATTTCACAGTACTTCCTTCTGCCTTACCTTATTTGGTTTAATAAAAATTTTAAAAAGAAGAACATTAAAGCAGTTTCAAACTGAAACGTTGCCAGCCATTCCCACACAATTGTGCAGTGCCTTCCATTAGTATGGGTGGGATTCTTAAAGGATACACAGAGTTGTTTACAAGCTCATAATTATTACAATGAGAAATAGATTGCTTCCCCCTCTGAATTTTACAGGTTAGCATAGTGGTGATTAGTCAACCATGAGAGGAAGAAGATGGGGAAATGGGGAAAGACCAAGGCCCAAAGCAAAGCTTCTTAATTCTTCTGTTAATTCAATAATCAACTTAGAAATAATAAATAGAGCTGTCTATGAGCACCCACCCTGAAAACTAATTCATTTATTTTAAGGAACAAAATAATAGCACAAAGTGGTACCCTACTCTTTGGCTAAACAACTGTATCATTTCTTCAGAATTAATAAATATAAGAACTTTGTCTCATTACAATTTATAGTCATTTTTGTGAATTTAAATGACAAAAAGTGGAATCTCTAGGTTTTAAAAGCCAATAGGGTAGGAGAATAGAAATTAAAAATGTAGTTAGATATGGATAGTTCTGGGATGGGGCTCCATTGCTAGTCATTTTGTTTATCCTGGAATGGAAGAATGTGCTCTGCTGTAGTTGCTGGTCAGACAATGGGTATTAGCAATTTACATTGGTAGTATACTCAACACAACACAGAGTCACAGAAACCACAGAAAACAGCCAAACTATCAACAAGAATGCACACTGCAGATTAGAATTTGCCAAGAGGAATAGAGAATTCCCACATAAATAGCAGCATGTGCGCTGCTATTTAGGAAGCAGTTGTATTTTTCTCTTACATTTGCTGTCGTTTCCCCTACCATATCCAAATCATGAGCAAATTGTAAGTCTAAAGTGGCACTTTTTTCACATCATACCAAAGGACCATATGCATACAATTTTGGGAAAAATAAAAAAGTTATCTGCAAGAACAAAATACAACTGGAAAATTTTGTTTTAAAGGGGAACTTCAAATTATTATTATTTTTAAATTTCCAGAGGGTATGGTATACATATAATATTAAAAACTATTTTGATATACGCAGTTCTCATACAACTGTGTACTATTATTATGAATATTTTTGTGGTATTAAGGTTTGAAATAAGAGACCTGTGCTTGCTCGGCTTGCTACACTCAGCTGGCATTCAATCATGGGAGTCACACCTCCAGCCCTATTTTTTGCTGGTTATTTTGGAGGTGAAGTCTCTTAGATTTTTCAGCTTTGGCTGGCTTGAAATTTTTATTCTCCAGGTCTCAGCCTCCTTAGTAGCTAGGATTACAGGCATAAGCCATGGGTGCTGGACCGTAAGTATTTTGAAAAAAAAAATCAAGTAAAAAGTTTTCACTAAAGAATCAAGTCTCTTGTTTTTGAACAGTTCTAGGACATGGCTGGAGATGGTCAAACATTCTTGATTTCTCTAGTAAGGTGCTTAATACAAAAAATAGGCACCTGGCAAATGCTAATTATTAAGTGACTGTTTGATATTCACTATTCTTACAACTGGCCATTTCCATAGCCACTAGATACTTTTAGATTTCTTATGAATTAACTGACCTACAATACCAATAGATTAAAATTAATCAGACTAAAAGAACGGTTTATCGCTCTACATGTGTCTCATGTTGGAGTATTTTTTAGAGACATAAATTGATGTTGAGCTACAAGAAAGCACTATGAAAAATAAACTTTTTTTTCTTTTTTTTTTTTTTTTCCCAGAGGGGAGGGAGCTACAAACTTCTAAACAATAGCATTCATCAAGCTACTTTTCTGCTTTCCTTCTCACTGATGCCTGCCAGTGATCTAAGGAGGGACATGGTTCAGCTCAAAGCATATTGTTTTACATGTTATTTGTCAAAGCAGCTTCCAAAACCCCCACCCCCACGTCATTTCCGTGATTATCATTACTTTTGTTTTCTGTGATTGTACTAGGTTCATGGTATACAGAAGTCAAACATAGCTTTAAGGGAAAAAAAAACAAACAAACAAACCATAGAAGGACATTTTCCCCTTTAAAGCAAGAACATTTTGGTTAATACTGAGCCACAACTGTTAGCCCAACACCCACACACTCTGTACAAGCTACAGCAAAAATAAATAAATAAATAAAAATAAATAAATAAATGAATACACCCAGCAGAGCCCTTATCTGTTGCAGGTACAACAGAAAGGGGACTGGCCAATTTACCTTCATCAGCCTCAATAGCCTCAACAGTAGCTGAAGAGAAGAAAGGGGGTGCAAAATGAATGAGAAAAATGAGCAGAGGAATTTTTTTTTTCTTTTAAACTCTTAGAACAAATCAGTGACGCTCGAAGAAGCTAAGGGAACCAATAGTTCCTGTAAGTGCTGGATTCTGGATTCAGACAACAAAATACAAATGCTCAAAAGAAAGAAAACACCACACACACACACACACACACACACACACACACACACACACACACACACGAGGACAAGCTGAATATATATATATATTTAATGATCTGGGACAATCTATCTGAATGAACTGCTCTGATTGTTGTATGAGCAAAATAAAAACAACAAAGTAAAAACCAATGTAGGAAAACACTCAGGAAAGCTTTCTGTGGTGTGGATGAGATTGGATAATGGATTATGTAAACCTAAACTACCTTTCTGACTCACAGAACAGTATGAAACCTTTGCTAGGCTTAACTTAAGTGTTTAAAAGTGCCAGACAAAATGGTAGCACTTAGAACCATGATGTCACTAGGATAATTCACATTATTTAATACTAAATAAAGCATCTCCTACTGGAATCAGAAAGCAGGGAGATACAAGTTTAAAGGAAGATAAATCCATGTTTCTACCTCAACAAAGCATGTAACATTTATTTAGAGTTGGGCAGTGGTACAATGGTGAAGAAGAAAGAAAAAAGGAAGGGAATAATACAGTCTAGTTCTTTAGTCAGATAGATAGACCAATTTAAAATCTGTTTTTGTTTTTTTATTCTTATTGAAATGGCATTTTGAGGAGTGAAGTTGTTAAAATATCATAAATCATGTGGGAACACAGTAGCAGCTGCCTTGTCATCAATTTTTTAAAGAACAGGCAGCCAGAACCATGAATTTCACACAGGAAGCTGCAAATGAACATAGGGAAACTGTGTATTTTTTTGGGGGGGGGGGTCCGGTCGTGGGGCCTGAACTTTGTGCCTGGGCGCTGTCCCTCAGCTCTTCAGCTCAAGGCTAGCGCTCTACCACTTGAGCCACTTCCAGCTGTTTTTCTTTTTGCTTATGTGGTGCTGAGGAATCGAACCCAGGGCCTCATGCATGCAAGGCAAGCACTCTACCGCTGAGCCACCTTCCCAGCCCGGAAACTGTGTATTTTACAGGCACAATGTTAAAAGCACAGTGATTGATCAACAGCTCTTCTAATAAGGTTAGGATGTATCCTGTTACTGTACAGGTGTCAGATTCTTTTAGTTGATATTTCCTTAATTAAATGCTAAAAATTTATGATTAAATGTAAAACTTTTCCATAACTCCAAAATGTTTAATATTAAAATTCTACCCCTTGATGTTGATTTTCTCTACAATTTAAGGTTTCAAAATGAAAGTATGTGTCAAATCTGCACTGCTGTTGAGATGCATTCTAGATTCTTTATGATGAAAGTAGACAATATTCACCTCCATGGAGAAGAAGGGCTAAATGGCAAAGCTCTGGGTGGTTTCTCCTCATTCAAACTGAAAGGGGCAGATATAAATTGTGAAGTTGCATCCATATATGGTGCCTTAAAATACATAGTAAGTTTTCAGATTCTCAGACAAATGAGGTTCTGGCCTACTTGTCTTTTGCCTGTCTAAGTATGTGTAAGTCTAACACAAAAATAACACAAACCAACATATCCACGAGAAATAAAAGAAAACTGAGTAACTGAAGCTAAAAATACTGGTGACAATCCAAAGACGAAACAAAGAATTACAAGAACTTAAGTAACTTAAACGTAAAAGAAAAGCAAAAAATTCAGAACCATTCCAGCACTGACATTAGAAATAAGGACCACCCACTAATCAATGTCTCCTTCTAAATCAAATGAGGCCCATAGTTTCTGATAATACACTTGTTGGGCCTTAAAATGTGATTATCAGAAATGGTAGATTTCAATCAATTAGGCAGAGGTGCCTTTTGGGCATACAAATTTAATGTTTTAATGACAGCATATTTATTTGGGGAGAAGATGTTTGTTTGATAAAGTGAATAAAATGATTTCTAGTTATAAATTTAAAGGAAGAACTTAATTCAATACTATGTACTTTCCTACTGTTCTTTATTTTATTTTTTTGGAATTTTTGTGAAATTTCAGAAATATTGGAATAAATTCATCTCAAAATAAATAATGTGATGGCGCTTCAATGGAATCATTTAGCAACACCACATTCATGAGATTAATCATTATTTTTCATGTAGAAGAAATGTCTAAAGAATGAAAGCGTAAAAATACCAGACTCTTCTAGGATGAAGGACAGGGAGAGAAGAGAACATATGAACATGATCTAGGAATGATATAGGAAAATACACATGAGGCTGAGATTGTTTAAAAAATGTTGAGTGTATGTTTGTCTAAACATTTTTCCTCTAACATCTACTAGAAAAATTTGCATATTATTGAAATTATACTCAAATAATAATTAAAATTGATAACAAAGCAAAAATAACAAGTGATTTCCACTGACCATGTGGTTATTTAAATTAAGTTTAATTTTAATGACATTTAGGAAATATTAAAAGAACAGCTTTTTAGTTGTATAACCTATATATATACCAATGCTTCAAATATGAGGAGCTTCTGTCCAGATATCAAAAATTTTCATCACAAAAAGTTATATTGGACAGCACTTGTCTAGAAAGTTATGGTTTTAATACAAAGCTTCTATCATAAGATATTCTTTTTTAATAATAAAATGTAGTTCTACTCAGTTTCCTCTTTGATTGTGGACTAATATAATGAGAAAAAAAGTCATATTATTCCAAATTTCTCTTAAATGGAAAATGAAACTAACCTTTTTTGTAATCTTTGGTTCTGCGATAAAATCTAGTTATGGATGTATAGTGTGATAGTGTGTGTGTGTGTGTGTGTGTGTGTGTGTGTACATGTGCATTTTGTCAACTATCTACATGACCAGTTTTGATCATCTCAAGGTTTCTAAAAGGTTATGTCTCAGGAACTGACTGGTTCCAAGTTTCCAAAACTGTTGTGCATGTAGGCAACCTACAGGAATCCTGAAAATGTGGACCAATATGTAAATGAGGGATGGCGTTAAGAACGAAGGTTACATTGCAGTGAATGAAAGTGCTACTCTGTTGGACAGGACTGATCAAACTGATGTGCAAAGGTTTCAGCCCTTCTTCCAGTCAAGAAGAGCTGAAGACCAAAACAAAGCTTAAATGAATGAATAAATCAGGGCTCTAATGACACAACTAGCCGAAGAGATGCTCCAGGTGCAAGGTCATACCAAGGGGCCTGCTTACCGCTTTGCAGGGTTTGCTTCCCTCCAGAAAGTACTCCGCTGGGGAGCATGCCAGTGGGGGTCAAGCCCTTCAGAGTCAGGACACTCTCACTCTCTTCTCTGCAAGGCACCAAGGGGAGGAAGTTAGCATCTAAGATCCACAGCTACCTCTATATGCTCTCTAGCTCTTTTCCTTTTCCTTTTTTTTTTTTTTTTAAAACAAAAGCTTCTAATATACTCTCCTTTTATATGCTGAATAGAAATAATGTTCCACAATGTGACTGATGTGATAAAAGTCACCCTTGACAACTGTGGAGGAACAGTCTCTTCAGCTTATAAAAGATCCTGGAAACAACTGTAGCTTTGTAATCAGGTATTCTGCTATGACAGGTTAAGGTGTGCAAAGTAGGCTGCACTATGGGGCAGGCCATAGGAATGTTTACCAGCCAAAGATTAGCAACAAGCTGCAGAACTGATTTGATTTGAGCGGGAAAATCAAGATTGTTATTCTTCACCAAGCACTTTCCCTACTAATTTGCTACTATAAAATTATTTTATTATTCACTATGACAATTGTTTTATAATTGTTTCAAGCCACATAATTATTTTAATTATATATATGTATATATATACATATATATACATTGTCATTTAACATTGTTAACCACTTTATTTGCTAACAGTGCCTTAGGACTAAATAACAATGAAATAGAAATAATCTATCTTTCCACAAAGCAGACACTGTAATCCTCCATAAGTAGAAAAAGTTTACACTGTGCACTCATATACATAGATCTAAATATTCATGTACATAACATATACTCTAGTTATGATGCTTAACTTTTTGAGGATTTCTAACATGACCAGAAAAATAATTCCTGCACTCCTCTTCAAACCTCGTGCTTCCAACAGTGTTGTTTTAACTCAGCAACTGGAAATTTCATCTTTTAATTGTTCAAAGGACCATACATTCTTCATATCCTTATTCGAAATTCATTCCACCAGTAACTCTTGATGCCTCTGGCCTCCAAATGTTCTCACCATCTTATTAATTCTTACATATTTACTATGTATTTATTTATTTAGAAAAGAGCTTTATGGACACAACATAGTATACAGCTCACCTATTTACAGTGGTTTCTTACAAGTTCATAGAAGTGTACAACCATCATTACAATCACTTTTAGAATATTTTATCACCACCCAAAGAAACTGTGTCCATTAGCTATCATGCCCCATTTCCTTCGGGGAGACATAACTCTGAATCAACTGTCTGCAGTTTTGTTGCTTCTGGACATTTCATACAATGACATCATACCACATAATGTCTTTGGTGACTGCCTTCTTTTACTCACAACTAGTATCTCTTTCCTGGACTTCAATAGCTTCCAAATAGCTTTTCTTCTCCCATACTATTCTGAGTATAAGCAATCAGAATGAGCCTTTTCATACCAATGTCACATCTTGTCCCTGTCCTGTTCAAAACTTTTTGATGGGTTCTCTCACAAAAGATGAAAGATAAAATTTGTATCAGGTTCCACAGTAGAAAACCAGAAATGGTGCTGTGGCTCAAAGTTGTAAAGCACTAGCCCTGAGCGAAAAAGCTCAGGGACAACCCCCACACCCTGAGTTCAAGCTTCACAACCAACAACAACAACAAAAGGACCATCTTCTTGCTCATATTTTACAGACTATTGATCACTTAGTCCTCAAAAAAATTCTATAGTTATCGGTGTGCTTTATAGATGAGGAAATGGAATTCCACTTTTGAGCCATAGCACCATTTCTGGTTTTCTGGTGGTTTATTTGAAGATAAGATTCTCATAGACTTTCCTTCCTGGGCTGGCTTGGAACTGTGATCCTTAGATCTCAGTCTCCTGAGTTGCTAGGATTACAGGTGTGAGCCACCTGTGCCCAACTTCATTTCTCTTTTTCCTAGCCTCCTTTCCTTCTCTCATTCACAGGTGTTTCTTACTCCCCTCAACTATGGCTCCTGGCCCAACCTCAAACAGTAGCCATGTTCTCAAAGGTTTCCAACTACCAATCAGTCCTGCAGAGTTCTCATTCAAACTCCTCTCTGTGCAGTGCTTTTCACCACCCCTCCTTCTCCAAAACCTTCTAGTCCCAGGTTTAATCACTTCTCTGTTCTTCTTCTTTCCTGTTCTTCTCAGCCTCATGACTGATCTCTCCTCTTCATCTCCACCCCAGCCACACACAGCTCTTATCCACTAGAAATGCAGTTCATCTGAGTTGAGAAGTGTTGTACGTGGGAATGAAAGACCAGATTTTGAAGACTTTCGATGAAATTTAAGGATGGGAAATATCTCCTCAATACATGTTTCATTAATCATATGCTGACATGATTAAGTTCTGGGTGTTTGTGTTCAGTGGCTTCTATCTCTTTTATTGTGCTTTCTAGAAAATTTAAAAATCACAGAGGAGGCTTTGCTTCTATACCTACAAGGAAGCACCCCTCTGGAGTTCTATTCTCTGTCTCCCCTTCCATCTTGTCCTTAGCAGTACTCTGTGCTCTGAAGGCCTTTCCTTGCACTGTCCAGACGGCTCATCACTCCTTACATAGGTAAGTGTTCCTGCAGCAATGATGGAATCCATTCAGGGCTGATTTTAACAGTGAAGAAATGTTTCAAGGAGGGTAACAATGCTCGATAGGAGATGTACTCATTACCTTACTCATGCAACTGTAACCCCTCTCTCTGTACAGTATCTTGACAATAAAAAATATTAAAAAAGAGAAATGTTTCAAATGACACTGAATAGCTCACTAATCCAGAAAACTGCCCTTCAAAGTGCTGAGGCCAGGGTGAGTTCCAGTGCTCACACGCACCATGGAGTCGGCTCAACTCCATAAAATGCTCCCGCTGCTGTTCAGAGCCCACGTTTAAACTCACAGTAACATGGCAGTGAGCCCCCAAATGCTACGCAGCTCGCACATCTGACAAAGAGTTGGTTTCTGCTCCTCCTACCTGTAGCTTCTGAAAACTGTTCATTCTGAAACAGAAGCCTTCTATGCTTCTATGTAGGCCCAAGGGATGCCAGAAGACAGTTTTCTGGTTCCCTTATAATGTTAAAGATTTCTAACACATAAGGAGTATGCTCCAAAGCTGTACCTGAGAAACGTGTGCAATCATCCACATTCCTTCCTCATCATCTCCTACGTTTATAACCTGTACCTTCCCAAATCCCACCTAGGGGGCCCTTCCTTTGCATTCTTCCTTCCATAGCCTGGTGCCACATTTTTCTTTTTTTCTTTTGTTGTCAGTCATGGGGCTTGAACTCTGGGCCTGGGCTCTGTCCCTCAGCTCTTCAGCACAAGGTTAGTGCCCTACCACTTGAGACACAGAGCCACTTCTGGTTTTCTGGTGGTTTATTGGAGATAAGAGTCTCATGGTCTTTCCTGCCAGGGCTGGCTTTGAACCATGATCCTCAGATCTTAGCCTCTGGAGGATTATAGGCGTGAGCCACAGGTGGCTGGCTCCACATTTTTCTTGATTGCCTTCAGGAGCTTCTTAAATGCTCCTCCTGCTACCAAAACATTGTCGTCTAGCCAATGTTCATCCTGGCTTTAGCATCTATACCTGTCTTTAGCATATATACCAAAGAATGAGTTTGAGCATGCCGTTTGGCTTTGTAAATATTATTCCACAACTCCTCATTGCTCCCCACACAGAAATATTAAGCATATTTTAGTATCAAGACCTCAGCTTTAAACTAGAATCCTCACTCTGTTTCATGGTCTTACTAACGTAGACTGTTTTAAAATTAGAAATTTAGAATTCATTCCTAGACTACTAGCACTACTTAGAATCCTATTTGACTAGCTAGCTCACTTTTGAGTAGGACTCCCATTAGTGTTGCTCCCCACCTATGTTTGGCGCACTGCTCAGCCCCCCTCCACTTCCTCACTCTAAAGGTAGGTCACCTCAACCTTCTAACTTAGCTATGTGGATTACTGTTCAGTGTGTGTACCACAGGCTTCAGCACCTGGCACTTAACAAGCACCTAATAAAAAGATGCAACTGGCATTGCTCCTAGGACCTTGTGATTGTACTCCTGATGACTTCTCCTCTTCCAGCAATGCCTTCACTACTGGAATCCTACCTACTGGAAGCCAGCCCGTTCTTCATGGCACGCCTCTGGTGTCAGCTTCTTCACCAACACTGATTGCATTCAGGAGAGATAAGGACTTCTTCCATGCAATGCCACAGCTGAGCATCTTCTCATATATGTAGTTCACACCTCACTGTCTTACAGGAGCATACAGGCTGGTGATACCAAGGCAATCTAGGTGGCCTAAGGCCAATTCCAGTTCAGATAGAATACTCAGCCATTACTTACTAAGCTTAGTTTGCTTTTCTCTGGATATGACGTCTCCACTGTACTTTTATAAATGCTTTTATTATTAAAAAGTAAAAACACATACCTCCCTATTTTCTATTCATCTGTGCAACTTTAGTTCAGTTGCTGATCATCCCTGGGTTAAATAATCTATTTCTCATTGGGGATCTGGGATTACCCATTAATCTGGGATTAATCTATTTCTCATCTGGGGTTCAATAATGCATTTCTCATCTGGGATTAACCAATTTTGGGTTAAACAATCTATTTTTCTTCTTCTTTCCCTCCTCTCTCTTCTCTGCATCTTTTCTTTCTTTTTACCATTAATGGGTTTGAACTTAAGCCTTACAACTCTCACTTGACTTTTTTTACTCAAGGCTGGTGCTCTACCACTTGAGGTCATCCCTACTACCGTCTTTATGCTGGTTAGTTAATTGTAAAGAGTCTTGGATTTGTCCTCCTGGCCCAGCTTTATGCCAAGATCCTAAGATTTCAGCCTCCTGAGTAGATAGGATTACAAACAAAAGCTACCAGCACCTGGCTAACAATGTCTTAGATATGAACAGTCGGAGGATTAGTCAGATTTCCCGATTTCAATACCTATGTGATTCATGGTTTCTCCTACCTACATATGATCTGAGAAATAAGATGATAATGGGTTTTCATAGTAAGAGAGACTTTCATTTTTCCAAAATATAATTTCACACAGAAATTCTGGAGCTGTTTCAATTTCCACTCATAGAGACTTCACATTGAAAAAGAGAAGAGCATGGATTGGTAATGAGGCACACTACATAACAGATGCTCATGGAGCGTTACTACCAGTTGAGTTTATGATCCTTTGTCCCCACAGAAAACTTCTCTAGCAGAATAGGTCTTCTTTCTGATCTTAAAACTGCTGGGCTTGCTTCTATCTAAGGATCTTCCTACATGCTCTTTCCTTTGCCTTAAGATCTCTTACCTTGTTTCTTCATGAAGGTCACCCACGCATCTGCTCAAATACCTTTACTTAGACTTCTTGGTTAACCAATACTGAAATGAATGCCTTTCTCTCAGTTGTTCTTCCTCTATATTGCTTTTAGTTTTCTTCATGATAAATAATAAATGAATATTTTCAGTCTTATTATATTTATTTCTTGCATGAATGAGTCTTAACCCCTTTCATAGTCCCCTGCTTTCAGCTTCAAGTCACTGAATTACTCTTTAGTGGCTCTACCAGGAGTAGAATATATATAAAGTGGAAAAATCAGAAGATCCATCATAGCTCCTTTATGAAGAAAATTAAGGAAAACATTGGCAAAGATAGATTATAAAATGACACAATATGTATATGTAGTGTTTCTCAAGGTGTCCTTAGTTACCCTTGATACTCTGGAGAATGATGGATGACTGCATATAAGCACACTATATGTGAAAGTAATCTTCTGAAGGGAAATACAGTCTCTGTGTATTATCTAGTAATCATTAAAATTAACGCAAGGAAAGCACTGTGAATTCCCTTTAAGAAAATGGTTGCTTTCAAAATCCATGCTTAATAATGATAGCATGACTCATGATCCACTTTTAAACAAACAAACAGAAACAAACAAAAACTACCATCTGGGAACTGAGCACTAAGTGAGTTTTGTTCCTGTCAGTGATTTACTGAAATGTTCATGTAGGCAGTTTTATGGTTGATGCTCAATTACTAGAATCCCGTGTAATGCACCTGATAAATTTATCTCTGACTACAAAGCCAGAATGAAAAATAAAAAGGATTATAATAGCTCTCCCTGTTTCATAAGATGGCCAACCCATTGTGAAATAAATCTTTTAAAATCCTGCAGCAAACAGAGGAATAAATGTGATGCAATCCATTTATAAGGCCCTTTCTTCAGAGAAGTAATTTAGTAGATTGCAAGGTTATTGAAACTGAAGAACTGACAATTCCAGTGAAAAGTAAAGAACTGAAGAAAAACATGGTTATTAGTAAAACCTTCAAATCACCAGATTAAAGTATTGAAATAATATTAAGCAACACATAATACAAATCACAACATAAACAGTGGAAACACAGTCTCACCTGAGAACCGAGAACACTCGGGCCATTTTGCCAATTGCACGGATCTTGTTCCTTATGACCTCCTTCCGGGCGGCAGCTGTTGCTCCTGCATTTGAGAACACAGAATTTAGTCATCGTTGACTTTTCACTTAACTATTTTGCAAGTGTATCTATCCAACAACGTTCAGGAAGCAAAATCAATTTTGGGTTCTTTCGTTGTGCTTCTCTTAAAGGGATCCAAAAAATCAAATTTGAAAATCGATGTATTTGGTCATTTCTGTTGGAAGTGTGAGGCTCAGCTTTAACTCCAAAGAGTGAAGGCAAAGCAAAGAGCAAACTGAAATGGAAAACCCTGAGCAGATAAAGGCAAAGGGTAGTTTCTTTTTCTCTCCTTTTCTGCTTATGCAAATAGCGCATGCGCTGGTAGAAAAGTCCACTAATCACCATCTTCTCATTCCCATCTCATGCTAAGAAACTGATTTTTTTTCCCCATTTAAATCCTCCTTTGAAATGTTCAAGCTAAGAAGCTTTTTACTCTATGTGTCTTGGAAAATCGTTTTCATCATTTACCCCTCATAAAACCTTTATTTCAGTACTTGAGATTCTTTCATCTTCTGGGTGGTTTGTGAGTTCTACAGGAAAAAATATAAATGAAAAACTGATGTGGTGAGAGACAGGCAGGTACCACTTAGGTTAAAAAGTTATGCATGGGCTTATCCTAATTGATTTTTATGATCTGTTGTACTTTCCCAATGGAAAGAACTATTTTTCTGACCTTTCTGAATGACAGGTGTTTTTCATTTTTCTTCTTTCTGTTTCTCTGGGAGTATTCCTATGAATGAGCTTTGGAATCTTCTTTTCATTGTTTGATAAGGGTGAAATAATCCCTCACCAGCCTACATTGCAGTAATATGCACAATTCTGAAATGGATGGAGAAAAGGTCTGCTTTTCTCTGTATTCCAAGAAAGTAAACATACAACAGGCCACCTGTTTTCCTCTGGAGGACAGTGATGCTAATGAATGTCCATCTCACAGGTACACAGGCATTCCCCAAAAGGTGGCTACCAGCAAGTAAGCTACTATTGCTGTTTTCCCATCTTCCCTCTGACTTGAAAGCTACCTATATTTTTTCTTTTTTGGTCCCTTTTCTTTCTCTTGTAGGAATCATGCCATGAGGTTATCCCTCACAATGAATTCCCTGAAGTATTATCTACTGCTCAGGACATCTGAGGGGAGAATGTTAGATGTGCAAGATTCTGGGCTAAAACTATTCTGAGATTCTAACAGTATTTGTTATCTATGATTTGTAATCACACATTTTGGTAAATAAACTTTGCTCTGGAGATCATCTAAAAAGCTGAACTCATTGTGCTTGGAGTTTAGATGATGAATAATCAAGAGACAACTAAAGGTCATTTTTTTTTTTTAGTAATACAGTTCAGTGATGTGAATATTCTCCTACTGCTCCTCTGTTTAGTATGGCCCACCCTCCCTGACCCAACCAACTCAGAGGTCATGATGTGCAAAGTGACAGGGAAGATTCTGGACCTTTCCAAGAAAGGATATGGCCAGATCTTGAAATCAATCCCACAGACACAGAGACCGGAAAGTGTGGGAGTACTCCAAATGACTAAATTTAGTAGCACAAGAAAAGCAGCAAGGAATGGTTAAAATGTCCAGAAATAAAATTGCGTATACTTAAGAGAAATGAGAAAGGGAAAAATATATAGAATAATTTCACAGAAAAGTTTCCTAAAACCATAATGGGAACAAGGGAAACTGATAACGTAAGTAGGGAAAAAATTAGGTAGAATTATGTTTCTCCATTCAGTGAGAGCTGATGCTCAGAAATGTTCAAAAATGCTAAATTACAAATGTAAAAAGAGCATGGGTTACATTCTTATAGCAAACTAATGAATGGAGAATCTAAGATTCTACTTGTGGTCTATACAATTGTGTGTTTCCCAAAACAGTGAATCAATATACTATGGCACTTGTCTTAATGAAAAATGCTCTTTGTTAACTTTCTTAGTAACTCTGACACTTAGTTTGATAAAAGTTTTCATAAAATTAGGATATATTTACTCAGAATCAAATAATCTTACCATAGATTGTAAGATGAGACATTATCTTTACCCTGGAGATCATTTTTAATATTTTCTCCAGTATTGTCTGAACATCAAAACTCATGTAATGATGCAAACATAAAATATTCAAATCAAATGTACAGATTAATATGTAATTGAGTTTAACAAGTAGCAGGCTAGATTAAGTTCATCAGATGTAAATTTCTTGGTATACTTAGTACTGTGTTTCTTGTTTTTTTTCTTTTCCAGAGATCATTTAGGCTTCTTCTTTTTTTTTAATGTGTATTCAACTACAAGTCCTAAAGCACATAATCCAATAGAAAGATCAAGGGAAAGACACACTTTTCAGAATTTTGCTACCTGCATCATGCAAATATGTCGTATTAAAAATCTCAGCATTGCTCTATTTAAACAATAGCATATATTATAGGAGCTGAAATTAAAATTCATATATCAAATAATGAAAACAGACAAATTGTTTCCTACATAAAGACTATAAAGATTATTTTCAAGAAAAGAATACATTCTCTTGTTTTAATTTGGAAGTAAAAATTTAAAGGCAATATTTTTTTACGTGAAGAAAACAGTAATTTTCAGTAAAAATCCATTTTGTGTTTAGACTCAAGTAATTATCAGTACTTTTTCTGTCCTCATTTTTCAACTTTTTGAAAAATAAAGTTGATTTTCTTTTTTGATTAGGTCAGTATGCTATTATTTCTAGAATCTAAGAAAGCCTGTACATTCAATTTTCCTTAAAAGTAGAAGAGATGGATGTAAAGTCCAAAGAAACTTTTAAAGAATAACCTGTGTGGGGGGGGGATGGGGGGGGCAGGGGGAGGCTGGGAAGGGATGTGAAGGGTAAACAAAGGAGGAGGCTGCAATGCTTGATAAGAAATGTACTCATTATCTTGCCCATGTAATTGTAAACCCTCTGTACAGTATGTTCACAAAAAATAAAAATTAAAATTAAAAAAAAATTAAAAAAAAGAATAACCTGTGTCCTTCCTGCCCTCAACAATGCATGGTGCTGACGTCTCATGAAGTTTTCAAGTATCTATGCCAAGTAGCCTTGCCAAGTAAGTGTTGCCCTCTGCGGGGTGAATTTCAGTCTCCGGAAGGGGACTGGGAAACACAACTGCAGCAAAGAGTGGCCAACTGCTAGGGTAATGATATATTGTCACCACATGAGTACCTGCCACTAAAGATGCCACCTTTGTTACCTGTCACGGCTACCACTGTAAAGTTACTATTGTACACTCCTCAAATGCAAGGTGAAAGTTTCATAGTGCTTAATTTGAGTGATAACATGAACATTTTAGATTGTTGAATGGTGGCGTGTCTTTTGTGGGAGCTATGTGGCATTTTGGAGAAAACATCCTCAGTAGGGCAGTGCCCGGTGTGAATCCTGGGCATGCCCAGTTCCTCCCTGGCAGTGGTCTTGGAATCATGTTCCTGGGTATGCTGTGGGTGAAGTGTTAAGGTAAATGTTAGCTGTAGAAAGATACCTACATAGGCATGGACTAGTACTTTCAGTTTCCCCATATAAAATTATGTTTGGCAGTGACTTCATTTTGAGGAAGAAGAGAGGACAGCCTTGGGAAAGCAATTTCTATGTGCTTCCTGTGGTCTGGGATGCCAGAACTGAACTGGTGGAAAGAAGCAATGAACCTAAATTATCCCAGTGATGTTTTCCTGCCTTCTTCTCCATCTGGCTTTGGGAAAGAGCTGGGTTGGGAACATTTTGTCAATACCTGTCAATACCATCAATCTAGAAGATTCTAACTAGTTCCAATAGTTTTAGAAGTAGAAAGAAATGAAGCTGAACAGCCACATGTAAATTTTACATGCAAACATTCTACAAAATGGCAATACTTTCTAAGTAGAATATGCTTTACAACTGCTCAGTCAGTGACTGAAGTGTCTTGTCTTCACTGGAAAAGATATGAAGCTTTCCAATACTGATATTATATTGGCCTCAAACCCTTTACTATTATTTAGGCTTCTTTAAAAGATTTTTAAATAATACACATATCCATAACATGAGTATTTCAAATTGGATAAAAGTATGTACTAAATTAAATATTTCATACTCTTCAAAGCACATATATTTCAAAGTCTGTATTTTCTGACAGACTTCAGATTTCTTTATAAATCATATTTTCAGAACTAATATATTTTAATTCATATTTTCAGAAATAATACATTATGGTTCACCATTGGTCTTTCAAAATTTGTTAACTTTTAACAAAGTTCCTCTCAAAGGAAAACTATTCTATTTGAAAATACAAAGAAATAAAACTTTATATCACTTTTCATAAGTGTTGAATATATTCCTGTTTATTATTCTATGTCCTGTTTTGTAGCCTTAAGAAGAGTTTTGAACATATTCTGAATGTATAAAATAAGAGTAGATGCCCTACATGGTGTGGTGCTGCATTATATATAAAACTGTGTGTATATTCAATTTTGTCTGCTGATAAAATAAAAAAAGGAAGTACAATTTTATCATGGAATCTTATTAGTGGGCATCCAAATCTTAATTTGTTCCCCAAAGCATACTTTCTCAATTGAGTCCGCAACAGCCATCTCTTTAAAGGAAAATCCACAAGCAAGATATTTATAAATCTTAAACTGTTTCTTTTTGATTTTAGAATTATGTTTCCATTTAAGTTCGGTCAATGTTATTCTTATGTGCTACATAGTTAAACTTTAGAGTGTTTATTATAAAAAATACGTTTAGATGCATACTTAAATTTCCTGAGACAGAAGATTCTCAATGTTCCTTTGGAATTAAATGTCACAATGATTATTATTCATAACTGAGCTAGCTATCACAAATACATAATCTTTTAAAATAAGATACATAGAAATAAAATTTACTTAAATGCATCCCTTAATGTACAGGAGGTTACATTGCTTTCATTAAAGATACTTTCTTTATATGATCATAGTGATTGTGTCTGAGGAGACTATGTGTTTAAAAATGAGAGAAGAAAATGGAGAAAGAGGTAGTGGGAA